GCTAGCTAGAGCGGCACCCCAAGGGTGAACATTCAAAGACCCTTTTGGGGAGCGCTGGCTGGCGCGACGCCCCACCCCTATACCCAGGTGTTTGACGACTTTGTTTCTTCGTTTTTCATCTCTAAACCCTCCAATCTTCCCTAGTTCTTTTCCCAAACACTTAGGGTCATTAGTACTCTCAACTTACAACAGATCTAATTCAAAAATCCACCCAAAAACACGAATCGAATCAACAAGAAACTTCAACAACACAACTAATCAAGAGCTTCACTTTTTAAAATGTAAACAACCCAAAATCGCTAAATTGAAACAAGTCAGTGTGTGGTTGAGCTAACCCATCACTAAAAGATCTCACATACCTTAATAGGGATCACCCCCCGATGAATTCCACTCCAAACGCTTGACGTTCTTGGCGAAATCTAGGCTTTTCTCCCTTTCTTTCTTCTTTTCTCTTTTCTCCAAGCCCTAAGCGTGAATTTAATTTTTCTAATCTGAACAAAAATAAGTTTTTACCCTAATAAATCCCTAAAAACGAATTAGGAAATAAATTAGAGAAAAGACTAGTTTGCCCTTCCTTAAATTCGGATTGGGACTTTCCTCAATCCAACAGCCTAACTTTCGAAAGGCATGTCTCACTCATATGATGTCGAAATTGCGCAAACTTAGCGGCGTTGGAAAGATATCTCCAAGGTATTTCCAACCATATCAAGAGTTGCTCCTAACTCATCCTGAGCTAGGAGTTATGGCCGTTTGAAAATGGCCAAAACTCATTTTTCCTAACTTAAGCAAATTTCCAGATTTGTCACTATTTCCAAAAACGATTATTTCAAGTTCTTAGCTTCTACCTAGCTATTTCAAATTGCGAGATGTTACATCTAGACACCCCCCACACATTGAAATATTTCAATTCCTTTCCATTTCTCATATAGAATAACATGTGTCTTTATGTGATGCACTGTGCAATTCCATTAGATTGTGGAGAGTAAGGAGCAGTAGTTTGATGGATTATTCCATTTTCCAAACATATTTCTGCAAATGGAGATTCATATTCTCCACCTCTATCACTTCTGATCGTTTTGATCTTTCTATCCAACTGATTTTCAACTTCAGTTTTATATTGCCTAAATGCATCTATTGCTTCATCCTTACCATTTAGCAAATAGACATAACAATATCTAGTGCAATCGTCAATAAAAGTTATGAAATACTTTTTCCCACCACGTGTTGGTGTTGACTTCATGTCACAAATGTCAGTGTGAATCAGTTCTAAGGGATATGAATTCCTTGCAACAGATTTATAAGGATGCTTAGCATACTTAGATTCAACGCAAACTTGACATTTTGATTTATTGCACTCAAATTTAGGCAAAACATTTAAGTTAATCAGTTTTCGCAAGGTTTTGTTATTAACGTGTCCCAAATGTTCATGTCATAAACATTTAGACTCAAGCAAGTAAGAAGAAGCAGAATCTTTATTCATATCAACTGCAATTACATTGAGTTTGAAGAGGCCCTCAGTGAGGTAACATTTTCCTACATATATCTCATTCTTACTTACTACAACTTTATCAGAAACAAATACACATTTGAATCCATTCTTAGTCAGAACTGGTATAGAAACTAAGTTCTTGCGCAATTCTGGAATGTATGAGACACTGTTCAAAGTCACCACCTTGCCCGATGTCATCTTTAAGAGGACCTTGCCTGTTCCTTCCACCTTTGAAACAACAGAGTTTGCCATAAACAACTTCTCGTCTACTGGTGCTGGAGTATACGATGCAAATAATTCTTTGTTGGCACAAACATGGCATGAGGCGCCAGAATCTATCCACCATTCTCTTGGATTTCCAACTAAGTTGCATTCTAAAGCATTGCACAGAGATCGTCCATCTCTCCAATGGATTCAGCCAAATTTGTTTGATCCTTCTTCTTGTCCTTCTTGGGACCCCAACATTCAGTAGCCTTATGACCACGTTTGCCACAATTGAAGCAGCTTCCATTGAACTTCTTCTTAGGAGGATTGCTTTTTGGACCAGATGTTTTCTTTCTTTTCTTTTGATTTTGTGGGATCTTCTTCAACAATGTTTACTCCAGATATTGCTGAATTACCACGTGACCTCTTTTCTGCGGCCTTGTTATCCTCTTCGATTCTCAGCCTTACCATGAGATCTTCAACAGTCATCTCCTTCCGTTTATGTTTCAAGTAGTTTTTGAAGTCCTTCCACAATGGAGGTAAGTTCTCAATAATGGCAGCCACTTGAAAAACATCATTCACAACCAATCCTTCAGCAAGGAGATCATGGATTATGACATGCAATTCTTGAACTTGGGTGACGACGGTCTTACTGTCTATCATCTTGTAGTCTAGAAGTTTTGCCACAATGAACTTCTTCATTCCGGCATCCTCTGTTTTGTACTTCTTTTCTAAAGCATCCTAGAGTTCTTTTGAGGTTTTGACATTACTGCATACATTGTACAGATCATCCTGCAGGCCACTCAGAATATAATTTTTACACAAAAAATCAGAATGTGTCCATGCTTCTATTACTAAGAATAGTTCTTTAGGCGGAGTTTCATCCGACATAACTGGAACGTTCTCATTAATGAACCTCTGCAGACTCAACGTAGTCAGATAGAAGAACATCTT